CTCCCCTGGTCTTCCATATCACCGACGCAGGTCTCTCGCTAAGCTCCAAGGCTGCGGGCCTCGCGGACCTCTGCGCAGGCCTCCTCATTGGAGTCTTGCACCTGTTGTGCCCAAGGGGTTGAGTTGAGTAGTACCTGGCAGGACCTCCTCTAGATAAGGCAAATCATATGATCTCGCCACAACGCATGGCATGATGTAGTAGGCGACACAGGCCCTCACGTGTCCTGCTGAGTTTACTGAGAGTACACGGCCCTCGCTGCTAAATTGACAGAACGAAGCTAGGGCATCAGGACTTATCAAAAAACAGCAGAACGAACACTTAAAGTCCACATTGCTTGCACCGGAAATCATTCTGCAGTATTAGACGCCAACTGTCTGATAGTGGTGCAGGGTCTTTCGGCAGAACGGGCTCGCCCCCTTTGGTGCATGGCCACCTCACCTGCTGTCAGCATGCCAGAATCACAGGCACTCGAAACCACAGTTCGCCTTTGTCATGTCTTTTCAAAAGGTGCAAACACATCCCTAACTTGTTTCGCAACAGACTCTTTCAAATACCCACCCACACACCCCCACCCAAACAATGTGCCCCCACAGCCGATGGTTCCCTCCAAATCCCCCATGTTCCCCCCCCCCACCCCCAACTCCCCCACCACCAAACCGCCAAACCGCCAAACCGCTCTCCGCTTCTCCGTCGCCTGCTGCACGCGGCCCTTCAGGGCGCTCACCTCCGCGTCCAGCTCCCGGCGCTCCTGGCTGCGCACCTGGCGATACCAACCGGCGAGCGGACGCCGGCCTTTGGGACATGGGCGGCTGGGCCGCGAAATGGTTTCAACCCAAAGACCTATGAAGACCTATGGTTTCCTGTGGTTTCCTATGGTTTCTTATGATTTCTTATGGTTTCCTATGGTTTCCTACGGTTTCCTATGGGAACTCCCATGGTTTCCTTCGGGAACTCCCATGGTTTCCTTCGGGAACTCCCATGGTTTCCTATGGTTTCAACCCAAAGACCTGGGATGACTTTGAAACCGTAGACCAAAAGGTTTAAGTCGACTCCTTCTGTTGGGTTTCTTTGGTGCAAAACGGCTTTGGGTATGGGTCAAAATGAAACCACCAGGAATTGGACCGCAGGTTTTGGCCCGTGCTTCCATTTACCAGGATTCCATTTTGGGTACATATGTTTGACCCACACCCAAATGGAACGACCCCGATTTGGCTTCCCAGCCCCGATTTGGTGTGCTTTAAAACAACCATCCATCTGGTTTGCTTCATTCGGGAGCCCCCCGAACCGGTTCATTCCTGCAACCCGGACTCGGTCATTCCCTACCTATCGCAGCAAGGAACGGGGAGCCCCGGGCTCGGGCTTCGCCAAGAGGCGATCGGTTCTTTGGAACTTTTGGTAGGCGACCTGTTAGAGGGGAGGTTCAAAAGGACACCCAGCCTTTTAACAACTATTTCCAGAACCCACACCATGAATCCGCCGACTCTTTCCTGGAAAGGAGAGGCGAGCAGCAACAAACCATTTTTATACTGATCATTAAATCATCAGTCATTGCTACAATCTGTTCAAGCTGGGGGACGTTGCCGCTGCACTCCTGTCTTTATTGTAATATACATGTGTATATATATATATATATATCAATGTGTATATTATACAGGGGCCGGCGGCACAGGGCGACAGCCCCCATTTAGGAGTTGGTGGGCATGAATTCCGACCCAAACGATGCCCACACATTCATATCCATGTGCCCTGCCAAAGGAGGTGAGTTGCTTTGGCCTCACCCCCGCCCATCCCACCTGCGACAGCTCCAGTCGCAGCGCGTCCACAGAGGGCCTGCGACAGGCCGGCCATGTTGCTCCCCCGCCAGTGGAAACATACTCGAAACATAGCACTTGAAGGGGCAGAGTACTTAGTAAGCGGGTAAGAACCATGGTTCTACCCTACTTGCCATGGTTGTAAGTCTCCGTTCAGTGGGCTATAACCAGGCTTTCTAATCGCTTACCTGAGGTACCCGATCGCCCCTGTAAGTACAGAAAGGGGTCGACACGATGTAACCCGAACTTCTATTTCCTCTACATCTGCTCCCCACAATTGTGATTCACCTCTTCGGAGCCTGAGGCTTCAAGAAGGCTCCACAAATAATTTTGAGCCGCTTCAACCCTTCAATCTAGCTTGCGCTTTTGCATACCCTCCACCAAGCCAACATAGGCCAACATGGAAGCTCCCAGAACCCCTTTGGAAGACTTGGTTCCATTTACGGAGACCTTCTGAGAGCTTTCATGTCTGAGGGAGTGTACACCTCAGGATCCCTGAGGGAGACCCACCTACACAAACAGCTCAACCCTTCAAAAGGCGCGCCCCTGCCGAGTCTCCCCGTTTATTTGCATGTGGCTGAGGCGATCACTCGTGAGCCGTCTCGATGCGCTCGGCGAGCCCCCCAACCTGTTTGCGCAACTCGCAGCAGGGGACACCACAAAAATTGTCTGGTGGGGATGCTTGTGCTTGACTTTCAAAGCCATCCAACAGGGGTCTCCTACCTATTGGACATACCGAAGTAAGCCTAGGCAGTCGGAATGGAGGGTTCCAAGGACATGAAGCTCAGCACAGGCCATTGAAACCTTGCGCTTCAAGCCATCTGCTGCCTAACGATCCAGTTGAAGATTCTGGCACATGGAAAGCCATCAAAAAAGAGGCAGTGGCGGAAACCCCCTGCACCTGACAGTGGGGCATGGCGCCAAATCCCCCTACAAAAAGTGGGGCAAACGGCGAGGTTCCAGGAACAAAGGACATGCCACTCGGCCCACGTCAAACTTGAACCAGCGGTCCGCCGCCCAGCATCACGAAGAGCCCACCATGCCACTCAAGTGCCAAGGGCTGTCAAAGGGGCAAGCGCCGGAAGCTGAAGGATCTTTATGGTACAACTGGCACAACATCCAGAAAATCAAAAAGGACAGTCCGGAGTGTGAGGTGGATGAAAAGAGGGGGAACGGAATGCTGGCCGATTCACCCAAATCCCGCCATATCCTGCTGCCAAGCCGAAGCCACCGGGCAATCCACACTCAAATGGACAGAGGTGATCAACGCTCCCATTTTTGCAGTTGTCTTTCACAATTTCCAAAAAATCGGATGCCCAGTTGCAATCTTTGAAAGTGCCGCAAGAGCGGACGCTTGTCCCAGGAAAGGACGCTTGTCCCAGGAAAGTGCGGTTCGCCCAAATTCCTCCCACTCGGGCCGCTGCCCGGCTCAGAACTCCGTCCACCTTCACGCGCAGGCTGGCCAACGATGCAGACAGGTCCTGCCGGACAAACCACGAGCAATGGGCTGCAGGTTGCCCAGTAGCTTGAGATACCTTTCAACCTGTGATTGTGATGATCCACCATTCCTGAACACAAAATCACCCAACCCCCTTCAAAAACTCCGGCCACCACTGGATCATCATGGGTCCCCGTGAATTGAAAAGGTGGAAGTCAACCTCTTTGAAGCTCCTAAGCAAAGATCATTCTGCGAATTGATTCGCTGCTCCCTGGTCTTGAGCAAATGGACCATACTGATACTGCCAATACTTTTGTTCAGACCCGCGGTCCATTTGGGTACTTTCAAATGGTGAAACATGCAGGCTGTAAGGGGTCAATCAATGCAGATTGGTTGGCACAGCGGCACAATGCTGTGATACTTGCTGGCCAAAATCGACTTCGGCCAATATGGGTACGAATCTCAAAGGATAACACCCTCCAAGATTGCGGGTCATAAGTTCCTCACCTCAAGACGTCAAAGGTCCCCACAAAATGTCCCATGTCAGACATGACACTGTCAGGCTCACTCTCTGGCACAGTCCTCAACCTGGCCGGTGACCTGCTCAAGGGCCCGGACGCGGTGGCTGAATTGGTTTGCGCAGGGAAACCAAAGGAAACCCTGCGCCGGCTTGCTACTGGGAAGATGAAACGTGGACATGGAACCCCAAAAGGAACGCTGGACGCCAGCTCGAAAACATGAATTTCTGTGTATAGGTTGCACACGAAGCAACCCAATGGTGATTGCTGAGCCGGGTGGTTCTGAAAGTCAGTGTTTGGCTGGAGCCGATGTTCGTGTTGCTGACTGGACAGCGGCAGTTTCTCACACACAAAACCCGAGATCAAATACGATGCCCATCTGGTCCGGGATCGGCCCCATCATAACCAAAACCTGGCAGTAAAATGGTCTACCCAGAACCAGCACGTGGCTCATGTGCTTTCCGCCGCCCAAAAATTTCCACGTCCTCCCCTCGCACGCTGGCCTTCCTGTCCAAGCTGGAAAGCCCCATCTCGCCCTTTCGAACAGCCTGGCGCGGGCCTCTGGACCAACTTGGGGCTTTGGGGTCCAGTCCCCACAGCCCAAAGAAGCATATTGTTGATCTCTAGTGCAACTTAAGGCATTGGGGGAACCGCCATCCCCAGTTACATTGCACCCCCCACTGGTACCTGGGGGGAGCGGCTTCTGATGTTTCTTCACTCAGACTGGACAACCAAAACCGCCATGCAGTCTGTGTTGGGATTATCAATCGGCGGTCCTTGCTGTTGATCACTGCGAGATATGGCGATGCGTAGATTGTGAGAAGGATTTCAAAATGTTTGCGTGAAACACAAACAGAGATCTGTGTCTCGCTCTCTCTCTCTCTCTCTCTCTCTCTCTCCTGATCGCTGTGCGTGTCTCTGTCCTTGGCTGTGTCCGCCTTCAAATTTCAAAAGCTTCATGCTTGGAAGGACACTGCCATCCTCGCACCAAGAACGTGTCCCGCTCATTTCGGGGAATACACAAACGGGAAAGAAAAAAGCAAGAAAAAAACGCTCTGGAGCCCCCATCTGCCACCTCGTAGACGTCGGACCCATGGAAGTCAGCTCCGTCCTGAGTGAGAGAGAGCCGGGACCAATGACCCAATCCTCGAAAGGCCACACCCCAAAAGTCCTTGGGTTGCAGCCCCAACCCGTAGCCACTAGTGGATGTTCAGGCGTACCACGTGGAGGTGCTGCAGGATGACTACAGTGGATGAGGGGATTGGAAAGGAGGGCATCCCGGCAACGTGCAAGTCAAGAAAACTTGGAGAATCCAAAACATGAGGTGGAAATGGGTAAGGCAAGTCCCTTCAGAAGCTTCCACGACAACATGCCTTCCAAAGCAAGTCAGCGCAAGGTTGCTCCGAAGAACATGGCACAGAGGCACGTGCACAGGCATGGGGCCTTGGAGGGCATGGTTCCTCCAAACATCTCTTGCCCACCGCCCCACCTCATTTCTTAAACCTTACAAAAAAGACTCGCGTTGCTCCCGCACCTGTCCAGACGCGAGCGGTCCTTCCAGCATCCACCCGAACAAGAGGGTGCAATGTCCAAAGACCCAGCCAAGGATGGAATGTTGAGGCAAAAGCATCTCGGATTGACAAGCAAATTGGTCTGCTGCTGGGATAGCAGCCTGCAACGTGAATCAAAGTTCAGGTGACACAGGCCATATGTTTTCAAGTACGATTCCTCGCCAGTAGTTACATTTCGCCATAAATACCTCCAATCAGGAGGTGCTTTTTTTCTTGGGGCGTCGTCGCACAGCCTCACCCCCCGGCTGCTCCCATTTCACCACGGCAACAGTTCGGGGCACTGTGCGCTGCTCCGGGGCGTTCCTCGCTCCTTCCTCCGCCCCTCCGCCCCTCATCCGCCCATCAGCCACCCCCCGCCTCTTGGCCGCCGCCCAGCAGCTCCTCCCGCAGCTGCTGCAGGCCGTCCTCCAAGTTGGCCTCGTTACAGAAGCCAGCCAGAGAGCAAACCTTAGACTATACGGGGTTTTGTGGTCAGGGATCCTTGCATTACCTGAACATTGCCTTGTAAATGGTGGTTTCCCTTTGTTTGGGTGGAAAAAGCCAGGTTTCAAATAGGCAAATTTTGAAATGTATCTTTTAAGGAGCCCTGAAAACCAAAAGACTGTCCTCAAATCCCTCGCAGCAGTCCTTGGACGTCCCCCTGCAACATCACGCCAAGAACTCATCACGCTCGACGCGGGCAACCAGAGGTGATGTTTGCAGCAAACCACCCAAGAAGGGAAACAAGAAAAAGTACCGCACGCAAAAGAAATGCCCGCCTGCAGCGCCCGGATTTCGGCGTCCAACGCTTCCTGCCAGCTCCAGCGTCGCTCCCCAACCCCGCAAGTCAATACCCTCATGTCCGCTAAAATGTTGATCTTGTCCAGTTTGCAGATGGCATCCACAGCAAAATGTCGAATGATGTTCAGGACACAAGCATCCCTCCTCCATTCCAGCTGAACACCAAAACGGCCAAGGCCTTTGCACTACACGATGTTGATATCTTGATCGCCGTAAACAAATCCACGCTGAAGTGGTTGGCGGAGTGGGGCGTGGGGGTTCGAAACTTCATCCTATCCACCGAAGACTACTTTCCTTTTAAAGGGACCCTCTGGACCCTACCAACCATGCTCCTTCTGCTTGAGTTTTCTGTTTATCAACCACCCCAAAAACGAGATATCCTATGCTAACACCGTTCCATTCACAACTCGGCTTCTTTCCCCTTCCGAATTTCTGCTTCCCTCGCCTGGTTCTGCTCCGAGCTAATGATCCGAGCCTCTCGGAAGCTGCATGTGCTGCTCAAGTTGCAGGGCTTGCCACTTGAGCCCAAGTCGTGTCCCCCCAAAGGGTTTGCGATGTTTTAGGTCCTGGTGCCAATTCCTTGGGCGGGTACCATGCAAAAATTGATTCGATCCCCTTCTCGGGCCATCGGGGAATCGTGCAGGAAATGCAACCAAAGCGCGATGGTGAAAGGCTCAAGCCACTGAAAAAGGCGCCCATTTCCTCCAAGGCTGGAGGGCATGGACACCAGGAGCCAACGGCATTTGGGATATGGCCAGCTTACATGTGGCAACCGTCGCAACGCACAAAACACCTGCCCGCCAAAATGCATGATCCTCCAGCGAGCGGCTCAATGTCAGGGTCCCTCAAAATGGCTGATGCCCTGCTGACTGTCTTTCGACACTTCAACTCAGGATGTCTAGTGTCGATCAGCTCAAAAGGAGATTTTTAAGTTGCAATGCCACGGCTTTGCTCAGTGTCACAGCTGTGTCAGGTTTGAAACAGCAGCGCTTTCGCACCCATTTGCAACAACATGTCGGCCTCTGCCAGTTGAAGGCCGCCATGTGTGCCGCGGATATGTCAAAACTCAGCGGATAATGGGCATGAAGGGGTTCATCAGAGTTCTCACACTGGCTATGCAAAAACTTCACAGGGTTCATGTCTAATCCAAAGAAAGCCGCTTAATACACTTGTGTGCTAGTAGGTTTGACAGGCATCGCACTATCCTCTGGCACCTGCAAGTAACTGCCCTGGCTTCACTTTGGTTTTTGCTCTAAACCTGCCAGAGAAAGGCCTAAGAATGTAACAGCCGGGAAACAAGCCTGTATTTTCAAGGGAGCAGCTGGTAAACTTCAAGTAAGCCTCCCACCACCACACCTCGGACGCTCGAATCGGCGGAAAACATACCAGCCAGAGTCTGCCCGTCAGCCTCCAGAAAGCCGTCTCGCGAGGCGCCCCTCTGGCGAGCCTGAGCCATCCAATGAGCAAACAAGAAGTCCCCTGCCTCTCAGCTGGTGGTTGCCCGGCATTGAATCCCAATTGCACCTCTCAACTTTCCGTCATCTGGCCCAAAGGAGAGGAAGATGTTAAGGGGGAGTCTGGTTCAAGACAACAGTACTGTTGAAAACCCACGACATCCCATGCTCACCTCATAACTTTCAGCCCGACCCCTGACTGCCTGCCCGCCCAGAAGCGAGCCGAGGCTATCTGGCTACCGCCAGCTGGCTCAGCCGTTTGGCATTCTGCCCGGAGGATGTCAACGTGCATATGTTGCATAATTGCGCTCGATCAGCTTAAACCAGATTCCGGGAATCAAGCCAATCACATCTGAGACATCTCTGACGTATGCAAAATGGAGATGTTTAAAGACAACCTCCTGGACATCCCAAAGAGTCACACATTCCCACATGCCGCTCCATTTATGGGAGAGGAGGGGATGGGTGCCAATTTTCCTTTGAAGGAATTCGGTTCCCCCGCCCCGCCCTGCGCCGCACCTCATCCTCCACTGAGGCCAGACGCCGCAGGATCTGCCGAGATGAGGAGCCCCAGGAGTGATGTTTGAGGGGGGCATATGTGGCTGTGGATCAAAATAGGTATCCGAAATGGAACCTTACTAAGTGGAAACCTGCAGTCCGACCGTCCGACCTACCCATTCAAAGAACTCTGTTCCTACGCACCTCGCGGTTGCAGTTGGCAAGTACCTCTTTGACAGTGGCAACCGATGGCTACTCCTTCCTTTTGGGTTTCCTTCCAAGGGCCTGTCTGGTGCTTCAAGACAATTTCCCACAATCCCGAATGGTTGGTGTATCAAAGTTTCCTGAGCTCAAGGAGAGAGCCCGATGCTTTCAGTCATCTATTGGGAGGCGGGAAGAATCGCATCAAGCCTACGAGCACCAGAGCGCAGGTGTGATGGGAAAGTGTCCCTAGCACCCCAAGCTCGCCCTCTCCGGGCGGCCTCCTCGAGCGAGTGCTCCGCGCGGCGAATCTTTGTAGCCTCGGGTCCCGGGTCCCGGCACTGGCTCCGAATGGAGAAAGCCCGGCGAGGGCAGCCTTGGGTGATACTCCGTTCCGGGAGCTGGGCCTGTTGCGCTCGATGAGCGTTTCATCAAACATGGAATTGCGCAGACCCGATTTGAAGAACTTTCCTTTTGGAAAGGGAGCTTGTTCTGAAGACAGGCGTGGAATCGAGGCATTGCCCAGACGCAACGCTCGACGGCTAGCCCATAAGACACGCCACAAATGCCATGTCTCAGACCTGTCGCCCCTGCAAAAAGCATAGCAACTGGCTCCAACCAGCTGGCAACAGCTCCCAGCCCCCAGCTGACAAGGTCTTTGAGCAACTCTCACAACTCCTCTTCACCCAAGGAAGTGCTCCAACAAATTGCCATCCACCAGAGACCTCCTGCAACCCCCCGAGGCTTGGGCCTGTCGCTTCTGCATCTCCTGGAGAGCAAGGCAGCGGCCGTCTGCGAGGGAGCCGAAGTCTTTTCAGGGACACAGGATGTTTCCCCTTTTTTTTTGCCAAAAGACCCTGCGTGCGCTCTGACAACTTCGCGGAGGAAACCCATCGTCCGCCAGCCCTCCACGGGCGGAATATGGCACTAACCAGTTGCAGGGGGGGCAGGAGAAAATTAAGTGAGTTCCCTTGATGGTTGTGGGAAGCTTGGTACTGTCATTCCCAAAAAGTCCGTAAACAGTACTCACTCCCATACGCCAAGGCCCATCCGCCCAAGGCCCGCGTTTGCGAGGCGAGTCCTCCACAGAGGCCGCGGCCAAGCGGTTCTGCTGCTCGAGGGCCTGGACCTGGCCCCAACCCAAAGGTTTGTCTTGTCAGGGACAGAATGGGCCGGTGCCTCCCTGCAGTGAAAGGGCTAGCTAGCCCATGTCATGAAAGACAATCCGATCTACCATAGGAAACTCAACTACATTTGCGTCAAGGCGATGCGGCCCTTTAAGCCAACCTGCTGTGTGGGCAGTGCTCCGGCTCCCTTTTCGGTCGGCCAAAGAGCCCATAGTAGCTTGGATGCAGAAAATGGACCAACCAGCGAGCGAGTCTTGACGATTGACACCCCCGCCGCTTTAGTTCTTGGCCCCAAGGGCCTTGCCTGGCGAATACTGGTAGCTTTATTCTACATCGCCATCGTGCAGGTGGCTGAAACATCGGCCTCCCATGAGGTTCCCCAAGTTTCTAGAATGCCCCCCAGACCCTTCAGGAAGATCCCTTCCGGCGTCATTTGATCCTTCCGGGCGCAACGCTTCTTAAACTGGGCTTGCCTTTCCAGGTCCAAACATTCCCAGTTGCCTATCCCCAACCATTGCCTGGAAGGAAAGGTGGTATATAATATCATCCATTTCCTGGCAACTCGATTTGCCACTGAGTCCAGCTTGGGGGATAGCAGTGCTCCACGAGCGAGGTTGCTGAAGCTTGTCCCAATGCCATGCTCCCCAGGCGCTAGGAGCCAGGAGTCGCCATGTTGGCTTCACAACAGGATGACAGGAATCACCATGAGAGCAATCCTCACACAGACAAAAAAATGCTCTGTGACAAGCCTAATTCAATTCCTGTCTAAACAACTCACTTAACAACAAAAACATCCATACCCCAGCCATTTGGGGCGAGAAGTAACATGGCCCGTGGCCCCAGGTAGCAGATCAGCTTGGTTTGTCAGTTTTTGTTTTGCCGAGTGGGCCCACCGCAGAAAAGGACCGTGTCGCGCTCGCACACCGCAGGGTGGTTGTTCTACCACGTGAACGCTTGATTTCCACAACCAGCCCAGTACTGTGCCCCATCGAAAGAATGCTTCCGCCTCTGGTGTTTACGCAGATTTGAGGGGTCCCGAAGAGTCGAACCCGGGCATTTGCCCCAATCCCCAAATCCGCCTGCTGCTCCAGTTCCCTGTTCCTCTGCTTCGAGGCTTCCGACCTGGCCGATCCCCATAGAAAGGGCTGCGTGACATTACACCGTTTTGTCTCCGTTCCTTCCCCACATTCTCATTTGGCCGCCCATGGCAAGACTCTAGGCTTAAAGGAAACGAAGGTGCAGCCCGACCCATTCAACGAGCCCAACTTGCTTCGGCGTTGGTGATCCCATTGAGCCCTGCACCCGCTGGTGCGTGCCCAGAGCCGCTCGTCGAGCCCGTCGACGCGGCGGGCCAGGGCTTGAGTCTCCTAAGCACGTGCCGTCTGAGTCGCACACATGCAAAACTTAACACTGCACCATGCCACCGTAGGTGTCGCCCAAAACAAACAAAGTTAAAAACGACTCTGTTGTTTCCCGTGTGGGCAATGGGGAGCCAACGGGAAAAGGGTGTCACTGAATACATGCATTACGATTCACTTTGCGGGGCAAATGTGTGTGTGTGTGTGTGTGACCGTAGCTGTGTAGGTGGGTAGGTGTGTAGGTGAGAAGGTGTGTAGGTGTGATGTGTAGGTGTCAAGGTGTGTAAGTGTGTAGGTGTGTAGGTGTGTAGATGTGTAGGTGTGTAATTAGGTGTGTGAGTGTGAGTGTGGGTGTGGGTTTGGGTGCGGGTGTGGGTGGGTGGGCGGGCGGGCGGGTGGGCGGTGGCATTCAATGGACCGCATGCCCAGTCGTCTGTGCTTAAACCAACTGCAAAATTAATGAAACAAAAGTCAAAACTCTACAAGCGACAGGGGCACCTGGGGGGCATAGCCTAGAATTATATATATATATATATATGTATACATATAAATACATACACATACATTCCATATATAATGTATGCCATGTATGTATATATGGTTTTACATATTTCTACATATATGTCCATTTATAAACGCCAACTTCTGGGGTTACCCCGTCACTCGTGTTTTGGCTGCGATCTTTTTTGCCGCCTTTGTGGCTGAGTCCTCCGATCACCTTTCTCTCAGAACCCAGCTACCCCTCCAAATGGCAAGCCCCGCCCGTGAAAACGTCAAACCCCCACCGCGGACCGTGGACCGCCGGTCCTCAATGAGTCCATTGACGCTGCCCTGCACCTCCGCCCAGCGCTCCTGGCACGGGAGGATACCTCTCACTGCCAAGGGGTCCCCGTTGTCAGTTGGGTCACACGTCATGAGGCTTTTGCCTCTTCAAGCTGTTCTGATCAGGATCCCTGCAAAGGCAGCTCTTAGCTTATTCGACCCCCAGCAAGACCGAAAGCCTGTCAAAATATTGTGCCTGGAATAGGCAGCAGAATGCTCACACAGCAAAAGGGGGCACAGCGCACAAAGATGCTGTGGGCAAGTGCAGGCATTTTCTGCGACTACCCTGTTCCAACTCACATAGTCGCAAACTCAACTGAGAGGTTGATGCATCTCAGGAGGGCATCAAGCAAGCCACTGCCCGCACTAAAGCCCCGTCGCAAATCAAACCCCAGCGGAAATCTGCCGGCAGCGCTCGGCCGTCCGGCTTCTCGGTGTCCGCTTTGGCCTCGCGGAGCGAGCCGAGCGACTCGCCCTTTGGACACCGGAGGGTCCATGCATCCCAATCCCCACTAAAATAGAGTAAAATGGGTGGTGAACCTACCCCAAAATGGGATCCCATCAGTTTTGGCCCACAGACATGTCAGATTTCGGGAGTACTGGATGTGAGACTCCATGACAATTCGGGATGAAACAGTTCAACATGAAGGTTTATGTGCTTATCTCAAACGAAGACGTGATACCGTCAATAAGCACCCTCACGAATCGGCAAGTCCCGTAAAACGGATATCATGTGCACCTACGAGGTGGAAACATGCCAACTTGACTGGAAGAGGCTAACTTGGGACATGCACAAAAAAACACAAAAGTGTTTGCTCCCGAACAGCTACCGCTCAGCGAGCCCATGCTCTGCGGCTCAGGAAGGACTCCACTTGTGCGACCGCACCGGCGGCAAAAACAAGCTAGGACCAAACCATGTTCACCCCCAGGTAGGCAATCAATTGGCCTTTTCCCCGTGTGTTGCCCAAACCGGCAAAAATAAAAGCCTGACTCGAGGCTTCTCTCGAAGCGCGGCGGCACCTCGAGCTTCTTCTCTAGGCTGGTCAGCCGCCGCCTGATGGCCAAACCGGGGGGTGTTGGCATCTTGGTAGGTTTTGGCACCGACAAAACGCCTCCCTTGCTTTGGATGTCCTGTAAGAGGAGTTGCCCACCAATCTTGAATGACAAAAGCAGACGTACATGGAGATGTCAAAATAGAGACCTTCTTCACATTTGACACTGCAACATTTCCATCCACGGAGACGCCGTCGCTTTTGGCGAGGGCGAGTTTCTCACATTCGAGAGCCACGCAGGCCAAGCGTCCAGCAGCCTGACGTCCCCGTTTGGGGAAGACCAACGGCCCAACTGGCTTTGACCCGCCTGATATCCAAAGCCACAAAAAAACTGCATCAAAAGAAATACGCCGCGACGAAAGGTGATACGTGGGATTGCGCCCCAAACCCGGTTGGACCCCTCTGCTTCTTCGTTTCATAGTGATCCATTCCAGAATGGCAGCGCCTTCAAAACCAGCGCCTTGACTCGACTCACCAGAAGCCCAGGGATCTGGCACAATCCAAGGATCTGGCACCAAGAACCCACTGTCCGCAATCTCTCTCAAGGGTGATACCAGCCCGACATGAGCTCTTCTCCACTTTTGAAGGACGCCTTGCTCCAACTCGTCTTCCATACATGGGCACCGCCCCCTCAAGCCTCGTATTGGTGCAAAGCTCACGGTGCAGAACGTCTTGCTGGCGTGCGGTAGCCCTGTGCTGATACGGAGATCTTCTGGATGAGCCTTTGGGAGACCAGGCATGGCAGTGCTCCGCCAAGATGCGGCAAGCTCGTTGCCGTTCACCGTTCAAGGGTTCGGACTCCTTCTCACTCTGCATCGTCCTTCAAGTGCTCGGCACGAATGACCCCGAGAAGATCCGAGGCATCCACCGGTCGGCCAAGTGCGGCCTGCTTTTAGGCATCCGAAAAAACGCCTAGGTGACCTCAGGTAGCAGTTTTGCCGAAGGCGAAGGGCAGGCGGTCGCCCTCGTAGGCGTCGTAGTCCCTGCGGCGCTGCTGGTCCGACAAGGTCTCGAAGGCTGCCTGGATCTGCTTGAAGGCCTGACGAAATCTGGGCGCTTTGGGAAACCCCACCTCCAGCCCCAAAGTGTTGCCCAAATGGAGACAGGTAAGATCCACGGCGCCGCAGCTGGGGCATAAGAGGCAGGTCTACTAGAATCTAGAAAAAGCGATCCAAGTATCCCCAGCAGCTGTCAAATAGCTAAAGTCTATTCGGAACTTTTCCGGAAGCCACAAAGCTAGGATTGGCCAAGACCCCATAGCTGTCGCTGGCAGTGGGTTTCATTGGAAGCCGACCACGTGGAGGGTCCCCGACCTTGAGACCTCCTGTGCTAATGAGTGACTTGGAGCTTGGAGGCGCGTTTGTTAAGATCACACTCATGACCTTGAGAGAGGTTTCGCCTCAGTATTGCCTGAAACTAGGATTGCCGGACCTATGTCCTGCTTGCCAATCACATCAACAAGTTCGCAACTTACCCCTAGGTTGGCTGAACATGGCTGATCCCCTTGAGCCTTCAAAATCTCGCTTGGTTGTTCTTTCCAAGCATGACTTAGAAATTACTCGGAAAGGAGATCGCTGGGTTCAGGCCGTATTGGAGCATGACTAAAGTGGAACACTGGCCTTCACGCTCTCAGGAAAATAAACGAAGTACATGAAGGCGCTTTCTAATAATGGCAAGTGTCTTGAAACGTCGGCATCCCAAAGCACGTCCACGTTGTGGGCTCAAGGCGTTAACTTAGCCCGAGCCCGAAATTGTCGTTCTTTTTCGGCACGGCATATTTTGCATTTGGAGGGCATCAAACAGAACTTGATGATGTTAAAGATGGCCCAACAATCTCCTTTCTCTGTCTCTCTCTCTCCCTCTCTCTCTCTCCCTCTCTCTCCCTCTCCTTTTCTTTCTTTCTTTCTTTCTTTCTTTCTTTCTTTCTTTCTTTCTTTCTTTCTTTCTTTCTTTCTTTCTCTCTCTCTCTCTTTCTTTCTTTCTTTCTTTCTTTCTTTCTTTCTTTCTTTCTTTCTTTCTTTCTTTCTTTCTTGTCTTTCTTTCCTTTCTTTCCTTTCTTTCTTTTCTTTCTTTTCTTTCTTCCTTCCTTCCTTCCTTCCTTCTTTTCTTTCTTTCTTTCTTTCGTTCTCTTTCTTTATTTATTTCTTTATTTCTTTCTTTCTTTTTGTCTTTCTCTCTCTCTCTCTCTTTATTTCTTTCTTTCTTTCTTTATTTGTTTATTTCTTTCTGTCTCTCTTTATTTATTTACTTATTTATTTATTTCTTTCTTTCTTTCTTTATTGCTTTCTTTCTTTCTTTCTTTCTTTCTTTCTTTCTTTCTTTCTTTCTTTCTTTCTTTCTTTCTTTCTTTCTTTCTTTCTTTCTTTCTTTCTTTCTTTCTTTCTTTCTTTCTTTCTTTCTTTCTTTCTTTCTTTCTTTCTGTCTCTCTTTATTTCTTTCTTTCTTTTCTTCTTTCTTTCTTTCCTTCCTTCCTTCCTTCCTTCCCTTCCCTTCCCTTCCCTTCCCTTTCTTTTCCTTCCCTTTCTTTTCCTTCCCTTTCTTTTCCTTTCCTTTCCTTTCCTTTCCTTTCATTTCCTTCCTCCCTTCCCTTTTCATTCTTTCTTTCTTTCTTTCCTTCCTTCCTTCCTTCTTTCCTTCCTTCCTTCCTTCCTTCCTTTCTTTCTTTCTCTCTCTGTCTCTCTTGAGGAACTGTGCCCCAGAATAGAAGCGACCCCAGCCATCAAGCATCCACCCTTACGCGCGCCTGTTCCGCCACTGCCTCGTTGCCCGCGTTCTTGTCGGGATGCCAGCGGAGCGCCGCGAGGCGGTAGGCCTTCTTGATCTGGGCGCTGCTGGCAGTAGGGGGCACCTGTCGAAGAAAAACTGGCTTGGGAAAATGGAATGCCTCATTTAACTTTTGACCCAAGCCGGAAGGAAATGAAATGACATCAGGCGACTGGAAGAATGGGTGCTGTGGTCCGGACTCCTTGCAACAAGGGAACCCCAAGATATCCCAACCCCCCTTCCCCCCACAAAGCACTGCAGACAGAAACGCCAAAGCAGGGGCTCAAAATACCCTACCCGAGGAAGGCCGCAAGCCGCGGCCTCCAAAGCACCGTAGTGGTCCGGCACCGGGGCCCGCCGCGCCCATCGCTCCGCGCGCCCCAGCTCCGGTGCGTCGCGGTAGCTCGGATCCAGGTCGGCAGCCCGAGACAAGTCCTGCAATCGCGACACATCGCCCAATGGGCAGCTCGCATGCTTAATTGTTATGTTTTGTTTTTCTTTTTTTGTTGGGTGGGGGTAGCCCTTTCTTTTTGTTTTGATGGGAAACCAGAAGGAACAAAATTACCCTTGCTGGCTGACCCAGCTCCGGCTTCATCATTCCCCTGCATCGCATTTTGACTCCACCGAATATGGATTGTGAGTCTCAGCCGCGTTTCTCAGGCTGGAAGCCCCACCGAGCAAATACGACGGGTGGAAATGCATCTCCCTCGAATGAACAAGCGAAAATCACGCGACGCGCAAAGCACCCAACCCGACTCCGTCCTAAGTCCGTCCCCCGTCCCCCCTCGCTCTGCCATACCAACGCCCCAACGCCCCAACGCCCCGCCGATCCGTGCCTGCAGCGCCTGCTCGAAGCGCTTGAGCTCCAGCAGCACCAGGCCCCGCACCCAAAACCCCCGCGCCGACTCCGCCGACTCCGCCAGATCCGCCAGGTCCGCCAGAGCCTCCCCAGCTCGGCCCAAGCGCAGCTTGGCCCAGGCCTCAGGCCAGCGGGACCGCCAATCAGATCTTGATATTTGTGCATCCATTTCATCTGCGTGTCTGTCCTTCCATCCGTTCGTTGCTATCTGCCGAAAACCAGTCTGGTCTAATGGTCTAACCTGACCGAATCTATCTGATCTATCGGATCTATCCGATCTATCTGATCTATCTGACCTGTTTAATCTGTTTGGTCTATCTGATCGATTTGCACTATCTACTCCATCTATCTGATATGTCTGATATATCTGATATATCTGATGCATCTAATCTGTCTAATCGATCTAATCTACCTAATCTGCCTACTCAGTCCAATCCAATCTAATCTACGATATCTATTTAATCTACCTAATCTATCTAATCTGCCTCATCTATCTAATCTACCTAATGAAAGTAATTGGTCAAAAGATCGATCGATCCATCGATGCATCGATCCCTCGATCCCTCGATCCATCGGTCCGTCCGTCCGTCCATCCATCCATCCATCCATGCACACATCTGTCCATCTGTCCGTCTGCCTATGTGTCTATCGGGCTATCTATTTGTCGATCTGTCTGTCTATCTAGGCATACGCTGCAGTCGATGGGACTGACAAGACTCAGCAAGTGCTGGCGGCTTTCCAACGCCATGTCCATGGAGGGCGCGGCTCAACCACGACAAAAACTTAAAAATTGAACCTCGCCGGATGTCCGTCTTGGATTGTTTCGTTCTACCATTTGATCAAAGAACCCTGAAGTCCGATACCTTTGCCAAAAACAGGAACATATCTAAATCTCTTCCTGGCTCCTGAAACATAATGAATGGCAAAGGAAGGTGGTGCCGACATATTGTTTGACCAAGTTCTTTCCCATCTTGGACCAAGTCAGAATGCAGAAAACATGGGTGTGACTCGAAACAGGCGTCTTGGGCACCGCGCAATCTTGAATGCTTCATACTTGGTTCGCGGCACAGAAGTGAAATCCAAACAGTTTGAGACCCGAACTACAGGAAAACGACCCAACCTTGCAAGTCAATGATTGGATCTGTGGTACACTTCTTTGGGGCACGGAAAACAGATTCAAACTGGACTGAAACGACTTGGTGGCAAAAACGGGATACTCATCCAGAAGAACTCGTTCCAATCCGGTTTACGGAGTGGAGCCAGTCCGAAACCAAAACGAGGTCGAGCAAATTCCAATGAACACCACCCTGCCAATCCGAACCGACCCAATCATTTCCAAAGGATCTAAGGCCTCCAAAGTCATCGCCCAAAGAGATCCCT